GCATACTCTGATAGACAGTGAGAAAGTTGTAATAACAAAACATCAATGTTTGAATGTGACAAATATTTGCACAGAACATAGTGTACTCTACAGTTACATGTTTGAGTGTTTCTGTGTGTGTGTGTGTGTGTGAGTATGTAAATATGCACAGGACAAAACATGGAGTATAAAAAAGTATAAAGATATAAAACTTGTCATAGCACCTGTGTGTGTGTGTGTGTGTGTGTGTGTGTGTGTGTGTGTGTGTGCTATAGCAAACATCAACCATGTCTCTGCACATTCTCTCCATGACAGTTTTTGTTGTAGTGCCCAAAGCCTTGTGCAGTGGTGACAAAGGACACAGTATGGGTGACAATAGGGGCAGTGGAGGGGGGATTGTAAGCCACACATTCAGTTCAGCACAAGAATGTGGCCCCTAGTACCCCCACATACAACTCGCTAACATACAGGTCACACACACACAGAATGCTGTTAATCGACTACAGCTCAGCGTTCAACACCATAGTGCCCTCCAAGCTTGTCACCAAGCTCAGGACTCTGGGTCTGAACACCTCACTCTGCAACTGGATCCTGGACTTCCTGACGGGCTGACCCCAGGTGGTGTGAGTAGGCAACAACACCTCCGCCACGCTGACCCTCAAGGCGGGGGCCCCCCCAGGGGTGTGTGCTTAGCCCCCTACTGTACTCCCAGTTTACCCATGACTGTGTGGCCACACACGACTCCAACTTTATCATCAAGTTTGCTGACGATACGACGGTGGTAGGCCTGATCACCAACAGCGATGAGACAGCCTACAGAGAGGAGGTCAGAGAACTGGCAGTGTGTTGCCAGGACAACAACCTCTCCCTCAACGTCACCAAGACCAAGGAGCTGATCGTGGACTACAGGAAACACAGGGGGTGCACACTCCCATTCATATCCACAGAGCCTCAGTGGAGTGGGTCAAGAGTTTCAAGTTCCTCAGTGTACGATACCGGTGCATCAAGGATCAGACAAACAGACTCCTAAACAGCTTCTATCCCCTGGCCATAAGACTGTTAAATGGCTAACAACTACTGCTCTCCCTCTCCCACAGACTATCCACACTTATTCCACATTTTGTTGTGTTACAGCCTGAGTTCAAAATGGATTAAATACAGTGAGGGAAAAAAGTATTTGATCCCCTGCTGATTTTGTACGTTTGCCCACTGACAAAGACATGATCAGTCTATAATTTTAATGGTAGGTTTATTTTAACAGTGAGAGACAGAATAACAACAAAAAAATCCAGAAAAACGCATGTCAAAAATGTTATAAATTGATTTGCATTGTAATGATAAGTATTTGACCCCTCTGCAAAACATGACTTAGTACTTAGTGGCAAAACCCATGTTGGCAATCACAGAGGTCAGACATTGCTTGTAGTTGGCCACCAGGTTTGCACACATCTCAGGAGGGATTTTGTTCCACTCCTCTTTGCAGATCTTCTCCAAGTCATTAAGGTTTCGAGGCTGACGTTTGGCAACTCGAACCTTCAGCTCCCTCCACAGATGTTCTATGGGATTAAGGTCTGGAGACTGGCTAGGCCACTCCAGGACCTTAATGTGCTTCTTCTTGAGCCACTCCTTTGTTGCCTTGGCTGTATGTTTTGGGTCATTGTCATGCTGGAATATCCATCCACGACCCATTTTCAATGCCCTGGCTGAGGGAAGGAGGTTCACACCCAAGATTTGACGGTACATGGCCCCGTCCATCGTCCCTTTGATGCGGTGAAGTTGTCCTGTCCCCTTAGCAGAAAAACACCCCCAAAGCAAAATGTTTCCACCTCCATGTTTGACGGTGGGGATGGTGTTCTTGGGGTCATAGGCAGCATTCCTCCTCCTCCAAACACGGCGAGTTGAGTTGATGCCAAAGAGCTCCATTTTGGTCTCATCTGACCACAACACTTTCACCCAGTTCTCCTCTGAATCATTCAGATGTTCATTGGCAAACTTTTGACGCGCCTGTATATGTGCTTTCTTGAGCAGGGGGACCTTGCGGGCACTGCAGGATTTCAGTCCTTCACGGCATAGTGTGTTACCAATTGTTTTCTTGGTGACTATGGTCCCAGCTGCCTTGAGATCATTGACAATATCCTCCTGTGTAGTTCTGGGCTGATTCCTCACCGTTCTCATGATCATTGCAACTCCACGGGGTGAGATCTTGCATGGAGCCCCAGGCCGAGGGAGATTTACAGTTATTTTGTGTTTCTTCCATTTGCAAATAATCGCACCAACTGCAAGTCCCCGCAGCAATGTTCCAACATCTAGTGGAAAGCCTTCCCAGAAGAGTGGAGGATGTTATAGCAGCAAAGGGGGGACCAACTCCATATTAATGCCCATGATTTTGGAATGAAGTGTATATCAATATACCCAGTCACTACAAAGATACAGGCGTCTTTCCTAACTCAGTTGCCTGAGAGGAAGGAAACCGCTCAGGGATTTCACCATGAGGCCAATGGTGACTTTAAAACAGTTAGTTTAATGGCTGTGATATGAGAAAACTGAGGATGGATCAACAACATTGTAGTTACTCCACAATACTAACCTAAATGGCAGAGTAAAAAGAAGGAAGCCTGTAGAGAATAAAAAATATTCCAAAACATTCATCCAGTTTGCAGTAAGGCACTAAAGTAAAACTGCAAAAAATGTGGCAAAGAAATTTACTTTATGTCCTGAATACAAAGCTTTATGTATTGGGCAAATCCAACACATCACTGAGTACCACTCTTCATATTTTCAAGCATGGGCTAGGGAGTTTTTTAGGATAAAAATAAACGGAATGGAGCTAAGGACAGGCAAAATCCTAGAGGAAAACCTGGTTCAGTCTGCTTTCCAACAGACACTGAGAGACAAATTCATCTTTCATATATTGTACAATCCAGGTGTGCAAAGCTTACCCAGAAAGATTTACAGCTGTAATCACTGCCAAAGGTGATTCTAACATGTATTGGCTCAGGGGTGTGAATACTTATGTAAATTAGATATTTTTGTATTTCATTTTCAAAACAAAAGAAATCTCACCAATCTACACACAATATGCCATAGTGAAAATATGTTTTTAGATTTTTTTGCAACTGTATTGAAAATTAAATAAATAAATATCTCATTTACATAAGTATTTACACCCCTTTGCTATGACACTCCAAATTGACACTCCAAAAGGTATTTTGATCATTCTTGAGACATCGCTACAACTTGATTGGAGTCCACCTGTGGCCAATTAAATTGTTTGGACATGATTTAAAAAGAAACACACCTGTCAATATAAGGTCCCACAGTTGACAGTGCATGTCAGAGCAGAAACTATACCATGAAGTCCAAGGAACTGTCCGTAGATCTCAGAGATATAATTGTGATGAAGCATATATATGGGGAAGGTTATAAAACAATTTCTAGAGTGTTGAAAGTTTCCAAGAGGACAGTGGTCTCCATCATTGGGAAATTTAAAAAATATGGAACTACCCAGACTCTGCCTAGAGCTGGCCGTCCGACCAAACTGAGCAACCGGGCAAGAAGGACCTTGGTCAGGGAGGTGACCAAGAACCCAATGAACACTCTGACAGAACTACAGAGTTCCTTGGCTGAGAAGGGAGAACCTGCCAGAAGGACAACAGTCTCTACAGCACTTCACCAATCTGGGCTTTATGGGAGAGTGGCCAGACAGAAGCCACTCCTGAGAAAAAGGTACATGACAGCACGATGGAGTTTGCAAAAAGGCATGTGAAAGACTCTGAGAGCATAAGGCAAAAGATTCTGTGGTCTGATGAGAAAAAAATTGAACTCTTTGGCCTGAATGCTTAGCGCTATGTCTGGAGGCACAGCTCACAGCTCATAAAACCAGGGACAGCTCATCACCCGTCTAACACCATCCATATCATGAAGCATGGGGGTGGCTGAATCATGCAATGAGGATGCTTTTCAGCAGCAGGGACTGGGAGACTGGTAAGGATAGAGGGAACAATGAATGGAGCCAAATACAGGCAAGTCCTTGATGAGAGTGCAAATGATGTTAGACTGGGGTGAAGATTTACGTTCCAACAGGACAATGACCCCAAGCATACAGCCAAAGCAATGCTGGAATGGCTTCAGAACAAGAACGTGAAAGTCCTTGAGTGGCCCAGCCAAAGCCCAGACTTGAATCCCATAGAACATTTGTGGAAAGACTTGAAGATTGCTGTTCACCGCCTCTCCCCATCTAATTTAACAGAGCTTGAGAAAATATGCAACGAAGAATGGGAGAAAATCCCCAAATCCAGATGTGCAAAGCTGATACAGACATACCCAAGACGACTTAAAGCTGTAATCGCCGCCAAAGGTGCTTCTACAAATTATTGACTCAGGGGTGTGAATACTTTTGTGAATGAGATATTTCTGTATTTCATTTTCAATAAATGTGCCCCAAAATAGTTCTACTGCTTTCTAATTATGGGGTATTGTGTGTAGTTATGTGTGAAAAAAATCGATTTAATCCATTTTGAATTCAGGCTGTAACACATCAAAATGTGGAATAAGTCAAGGGGTATGAATACTTTCTGAACACACTGTATAATATTATTATTATTATTATTATGATCATTGCATTGTTGGGAAAGAGCTCTCAAGGTATGAATTTCACTGTACTGTTTTACACCTGTTGTACATGGCGAATACACTTTGAAACTTGAAACACACACACACACAGGTCACAATGGTCAGTTCAAAGAGGGCCCCCTGACAAACACCAGACGAAATACAGAGTGTCAATTCTGTTGAACGCTCCATCAAAAAGGAGTCCTTACACAGTTGTAACCATATGGGTTTGTAACCTGGGTTAGTCCTCTAAACTAAAGCCTTGACATTAGATCTGGGAGTTGTCAGGTCTTGAGCAAGGTTACTCATAAGTGCAGCGAGCCACTCCCGCTACATAACAAATGTCTGAAGCAGTCATGATAGTTAAGTTGTTTTTTAGGTGGTCAAAAACAACATTATTTCACGTAGCAATGTGTAAGCTAAACATGCATAGCTTGCTTACCTAAAAAGATTTATATTCCATGATGTGTCTTTTCATATTTGACCAATTTGGATATTCAAAAGGAATGACGTGTTGTGTGTTGTCGTTTGTCCACAGGCTCGTCCTACTACAACAATGTGCGGCCGCTAGCCTATCCCGACGCTGACGCTGTGCTCATCTGTTTCGACATCAGCCGCCCCGAGACACTGGACAGTGTGCTGAAGAAGGTCAGAGAGCTATGAAGTAAAGCCACGTGTCTGTGCTTCAGTTCAATAAAATATTATATAAAATAGGGTTCCCCAACTGGCGGCCCGAATTTGGCCCATGGGTGGTTTTACATGGCCCCCCAATGTTTCTGAGCATTTTTTTATTTTTTATTGTTGGACATAAAACACTGTAAAAAGAACAGGAAATCAGCTCCAAGTGATTTTAATTTTGGAAATATGTTCTGACAGGTTTGAAATCATTATGTAAACAAATATTATATCTGTTTGGGCTTCTTGCGGTCAATTTGCAATTCCGATCCCCCGACGATCCGCTCAAGAAAAAATCAGCCCGCGGCTGAATTTAGTATAATAATATTTTGTTGGGTGCATATATTTGTTCAGTTACACACAAGTGTGTAATGGAAATGTGTTGTTTTGCATATCCCAACTCCCCCTGAGACACCCGCAGGGAGTGGGTTCACGGCCAGGGTCGCTATTGTACAGCGCCCCAGGAGCAATTAGGGTTAAGTGCCTTGCTCAATGGCACAGCAACAGAATATTATTTTAATTTCTTCGTTTTCGGCTCTGGTATTCAAACCAGCAACCTTTCGGTTACTGGTCCAACGCTCTAACCTTGAGGCTACCAAGTTGATGATCCCTGATCTCAAATTATCCTAGAACACCTTTTAGAACAGTAAGGACTACATATAAAAGAAACACTGCTTGTGAGAACAACCTAGCCGAGACAGGAATGAACAAATATTGTTTTGTGAAAGCATGCAGGCATATCACAGACCCTTAGGTAATGTTCCCCCTAAGGTTAGAAGCTAATGTTATGGCCTTTTTAAGGACATTTTCTCCCTAAATGAATACACAATTAATTGTAATCCATCCATTGTCCCAGCGTTCTTCAAAAAATATGCATTTACTTAATAAGAGGGAGAAGTTTGGCATTGTTTCCCAAAGCCTCGGTTGTGTCTAATTGGTGGAACTCAATGAATGGGAAAGTCTTTCTTTGGGTAACAATGCCACACCATTTGGGACCTACAGGTCTACACGTTTTGTTTGAATGATAAAGACTTGTTGTTTATAGTGTATAGCGAACATCAGTTGTGTGGGCGAGGAATGCCTTTGACTGGGTGGAGTGGACATTCCTAATGTCAAGCCCATCGCTCACCCATGACATCATCAGCATCGCCATTCAGAGACAAAAAACTCCACTCTTTGAGTCACGAGACAAAACTGAAGGAGGGGAGCGGAGGTACCCCAAATTCTGATAGAGGTCCACTTGGGGCTCTTGAGGGCTCACTTGACCTGTGACCCTATATAGATGCCTTGCTAATCTCTTACCAACAGGCCAAGGGTGGGCGTTGAATACACCCCTCTCACAATAGGCTCCCAGAATTGGGCTCTTGACATCTCAAGTGCCAAGTGCTTCTATTTGACATAGGGGTGAAATATTTCATACCACTGAAGCCAAACAAAAGCCGGTCCAACAATAAATTCCACTCAAGTGTTAACAAGTGTTAAAGGAAAACTATGATGCAAAATGCATAATTCCGGCTGTATTTCTGTAAGGTTATACATCTTGAAAACTTGATTGCTGACATACAAAATATTTTGTGACTATGTCAACAATGGACTAATGAAGCAAATACCAAAATATCGTTTTTGGGTGGAATTTTCCTTCAAGTATTAAAATGTTAAAGAGATTCTCTGGTACTTTTGTATACTTTTTAGCCAGTAGTTCTGAAAGTAGCACTCACAAGCCAAAAGTGGTCCCCGAAAATTGCGTACTGTCACATATGTGCACCACGTCATTGCTCTCTCGCTCTCTGCTGTGTCCACTGAGCCGTTGGGCCCGCCCTGCAACCTCATTGGATAATGCTGGGCAGACCTCTTGTTAGCTGTCACTCAAATGCAAGGGGCTGAAGCTCATTGGCTAGAACTCAAATTGCTAGTGGGCTGGCCCACGTGGGGGGAAAATCCCAATTCCCATTCACGTCCCAGCTTCAAGAAAAAAGTGGCTTTCAAACTAGGGATTTCGTGGCTAATTGAGGTGAAACAGTAATTCTGCTCATAGATTATGAATGTATGAACTACACATTGACACATCCAGCCCAAAGCGGGAGGTTTAAAAAATACTTTCTTAGTCGCCAAAGTACCGGAGCATGTCTTTAAGTGACAAGTGTTAAGCCAAGGACACATGATATCAGTGATTCTGCATGACTAATTAGTGATTCTGTCTTGTTACTGTATAGTTTCCTGCTTTCTTGAATGCTTTTGTATCTTTGAGAGGGGGGACGGACGAGTGAACACTTTGGGTGTGAAGGGGGGAGAATCGAAAAGCAACAGGAGACTCTTGAGAGTATGATGTGGCAGCCTTCGCACCCAGTCCTCGGGCTTCCTCTCAGGCCTCAGTACAGTACAGTACAGTACAGATCACACACACACACACACACACACACACGCGCACACGCACACACACACACACACACACTTATGAACATTACTTGGGGGCTAGAAACAAGGACTATATCCAACTAGCATGTACAGTGAAGGAAAAAAGTATTTGATCCCCTGCTGATTTTGTACGTTTGCCCACTGACAAAGACATGATCAGTCTATAATTTTAATGGTAGGTTTATTTGAACAGTGAGAGACAGAACAACAACAAAAAAATCCTGAAAACGCATGTCAAAAATGTTATAAATTGATTTGCATTTTAATAAGGGAAATAAGTATTTGACCCGTCTGCAAAACATGACTTAGTACTTGGTGGCAAAACCCTTGTTGGCAGGTCAGACGTTTCTTGTAGTTGGCCACCAGGTTTGCACACATCTCAGGAGGAATTTTGTCCCACTCCTCTTTGCAGATCTTCTCCAAGTCATTAAGGTTTCGAGGCTGACGTTTGGCAACTCGAACCTTCAGCTCCCTCCACAGATTTTCTATGGGATTAAGGTCTGGAGACTGGCTAGGCCACTCCAGGACCTTCATGTGCTTCTTCTTGAGACACTCCTTTGTTGTCTTGGCCGTGTGTTTTGGGTCATTGTCATACTGGAATACCCATCCACGACCCATTTTCAATGCCATGGCTGAGGGAAGGAGGTTCTCACCCAAGATTGGACGGTACATGGCCCTGTCCATCGTCCCTTTGATGCGGTGAAGTTGTCCTGTCCCCTTAGCAGAAAAACACCCCCAGAGCATAATGTTTCCACCTCCATGTTTGACGGTGGGGATGGTGTTCTTGGGGTCATAGGCAGCATTCCTCCTCCTCCAAACACGGCGAGTTGAGTTGATGCCAAAGAGCTTGATTTTGGTCTCATCTGACCACAACACTTTCACCCAGTTCTTCTCTGAATCATTCAGATGTTCATTGGCAAACTTCAGACGGGCCTGTATATGTGCTTTCTTGAGCAGGGGGACCTTGCGGGCGCTGCAGGATTTCAGTCCTTCACGGCGTAGTGTGTTACCAATTGTTTTCTTCTTGACTATGGTCCCAGTTGCCTTGAGATCATTGACAAGATCCTCCCGTGTAGTTCTGGGCTGATTCCTAACCGTTCTCATGATCATTGCAACTCCACGAGGTGAGATCTTGCATGGAGCCCCAGGCCGAGGGAGATTGACAGTTATTTTGTGTTTCTTCCATTTGCGAATAATCGCACCAACTGTTGTCACCTTCTCACCAAGCTGCTTGGCGATGGTCTTGTAGCCCATTCCAGCCTTGTGTAGGTCTACAATCTTGTCCCTGACATCCTTGGAGAGCTCTTTGGTCTTGGCCATGGTGGAGAGTTTGTAATCTTATTGATTGATTGCTTCTGTGGACAGGTGTCTTTTATACAGGTAACAAGCTGAGATTAGGAGCACTAATCTCAGCTCGTTACCTGTATAAAAGACACCTGGGAGCCAGAAATCTTTCTGATTGAGAGGGGGTCAAATATTTATTTCCCTAATTAAAATGCAAATCAATTTATAACATTTTTGACATGCGTTTTTCTGGATTTTTTTGTTGTTATTCTGTCTCTCACTGTTCAAATAAACCTACCATTAAAATTATAGACTGATCATTTCTTTGTCAGTGGGCAAACGTACAAAATCAGCAGGGGATCAAATACTTTTTTCTGTCACTGTATAATATATGCTGCTTATGTAAAAGACCTGTTGGCTGTGTGTGCTGTAATCTCCTGTTTGATCAACCAGTGGCTCAGCTGTACTACTACCGGGAATCAGAGAATGTTATTGAAGCAGAGCATAGGCCTACATTTGATTTAAATGTTATTGAAGCAGAGCACACATTATGCAATGTTATTGAAAGAAAGCATACATGTTAAGAGTAATTATGTAATACATGGAATGAGATACACACTACTGGCCTTGGGAACATGTCCTAATAGTTTGGTAATAAGGAGGTACTGCAAAGGAAATACTGCCTCCGTTTCTGTTTTCAGGCAAAACATTTACCGGAATAAGGAAGTGAAACTACCGCTAGAAAGGGGCGTTAAGTACAATTTGTAAAATGTTACCTTCAGTACATATCATTATTGCGCATCACCAATAATTTCCATCATTAACCATTCTCATCCTTCGAAATGAAAATGGACAATTCACTCTATGCTCTTTGTCTGTTATTCACTCTCTGTTCTTTGGCTTTGCCAAACCTTACATATTGAAAAAGTATATAAATGCAACATGTAAAGTGTTGGTCCCATGTTTCAAGAGCTGAAATAAAAGATCCCAGAAATGTTCCATATGCACAAAAAGCTTATTTCTCTCAAATGTTGTGCACAAATGTGTTTACATCCCTGTTAGTGAGCAATTCTCCTTTGCCAAGATAATCCGTCCACCTGACAGGTTTGGCATATCAAGAAGCTGATTAAACAGCATGATCATTACAGAGGTGCACCTTGTACTGGGGACAATAAAAGGCCACACTAAAATGTGCAGTTTTGTAACACAACACAATGCCACAAATGACTCAAGTTTTGAGGGAGTGTGCAATTGGCATGCTGACTGCAGGAATGTCCACCAGAGCTGATGCCAGAAAATTGAATGTTAATTTCTCTACCATAAGCCACCTCCAACATTGTTTTAGAGAATTTGGCAGTACGTCCAACTGGCCTCACAACCGCAGACCACGTGTATGCCGTCATGTGGGCGAGCGGTTTGCTGATGTCAATGTTGTGAACAGTGCCCCATGGTGGCGGTGAGGGTATGGTATGGGCAGGCGTAACTACGGACTATGCAATATTAATACACAAAAATACCGTGACGAGATCCTGAGGCCCATTTTTTTTTAAGGTATCTGTGACCAACAGATGAATATCTGTATTCCCAGTCATGTGAAATTCATAGATTGAATTTATTTCAATTGACTGATTTCCTCATGAACTGCAACTCAGTAAAATCAATGAAATTGTTGCACGTTGTGTTTATATTTTGTTCAGTAAATAAACACAATGACCCTTCTGCTTGGCCCTTGTGACTTGTCTAGGTCACATTCATTGATTCACCAGTACGTCTTCAACAGAAAGCCCTTATCCAAGACAACAGCACATGATGACTAACACTAATGAACAGAGCCCATAATGACATAGACGGTCGTCTACAAGAAAGGCATCGTTTGTATAGAGTAGAAAACATAGACGTATATCTACAAGAAAGGCATTGTTTGTATTGAGTAGAAACAGAGAGGTATCGTTCAAGGGATAATGTGAAGAGATAATGTAAGCAGTCAGAGATATAGTGAGAGAGAGACAGAGACAGAAACAGAGAGACAAGAGACAGACCAGCACAGACAGTAGGGAGAATGGCTACCCAGCACAGAGAGTGACGTGTCACCGTTGAGACAATGTAGCTGTTAACTTGTCTATAGTCTTGAAGTGCAAATGAGTATTGTCTGCTTCATAATGTGTGTTGTTATTCTTTCTGATGGAACTCTGAGGGAGTGTTGTCTAGATGTGGTTGTGGTTACTGTAGCTGTGAGCTCATAGCGGACAGAACTAGTGCTCCGTTAAATTCTTCAATTGTCACCATGACAACTTGTTTCAATGGACAGTGTTATTTCAATGGGCGTTGAGTTAATGTAGTGATATTATATCCATACAATGTAAATAACATTAACTAAAAGAGATAAACATGTATTTTCTCCAAATTTCATATATTAAAAATAGATATGTTTTGGATATTGGTGCTCACCTGTTACGCTCGGTTCTGACAAGTTTCTTCCTCTTCCTCCATAGTGGCAGGGGGAGACGCAGGAGTTCTGTCCTAACGCCAAGGTGGTATTGGTGGGCTGTAAGCTGGACATGCGGACGGACCTCAACGTGCTGAGAGAGCTGTCCAAACTCCGACTCATCCCTGTCACTCATGAACAGGTCAGGACTGACTGTTTCTCACTACTGAGCCAATCCAAGCCAAGCTGTACTATGCTGGTCTGGTAATGCATCCATTGTAGTCCCTGGAACTGTGCTGGAAGGACAATGTAAAATGAAAATATCAGAGCAAGCAGTACGGTTTAGCCTTGTGTGTTATGAAAAATGTATGGCAATGCCAGTAGCTGTTTACTTGTACTCTGTGATGGCATAACACCTTCAGAACATTGTCGTAAGCATGACATAATAACACCTGTCAAAACAGGTCAAATAAAACTTTAGGCTATTTCTTGGCAGAAATTTAGCTGTGAACTAGGAAGACGATGGGGACTATGGCGTCCCAAATGCGGTCTCTATGGGTCCTGTTAAAAAAATAGTGCACTATAAAGGGAATAGGGTGCCATTTGGGACATAGACTATGTGATAATGTGACACACTGTTCTGGAACATGCCTACTTTTTTTTTTTACACTGCTCTAGCTACTTTTGCCGTAGTTACCATGGTTGGTGTCAGGTAAGTTTAGACTGTCCAGTGTTGCCATGTGGCAGATAGATACACCTGGCATGATCAGCCAAACAGGTTAACGCACAAACAGACATACTTCTACAGTACAAACTTGCTGATATTTACCTGTCCACACTGTGTAAACAGCACAACTGCTCTTTCACAGCCCACACACACACGCATGAGCGCACGCACGCAGCAGCTACGGCAAAGACATTTGCATGGTTCAGACTATCTGTGATGCCCTAATGCAGACATTCCAATAGCTAAACACCTAAAAGCACCTAGCTGGAACACACGCTGAATATTTCACGTGCTCAGGCAGGGAACAGCATGTTAAGGTACTTCTTCACTCCTGTTAGCCCACTTCTACTAGCTACTGTTCTCAGAGCGTTCATGTAACGTAGCATTAACATTCTGATATGTTCCAATACAGAAACACTCAAACTCTGCAGAGAGGTAACCTAAAACACACTTTTATGTACTGAGGGCACCTACTGTGCTTTAACATAACTGTAAGTCCTAATATGTACACCGTATTCCAGTTTGAAAATGCCATTTAGTTCAAATAGTTTCTCAAATACGAAAGCATACAGTACAGTGTAAAGAGTGTAATAGAGTTGGAACCAGGGAGTGAGACAAACACTAAGGGGAACAATTTAATTGTTTTGTTTCAATGTCCTCGGGCAATAACAGATAGAGACGGACTGACGGACTCGGGAGGCTGTGAATTTTAATGGCCTATTTTCATGTTAATGTTATTTCCGAGTTGACACTTCTTTAAACACTAAGTCACATCCCTATTTTCTCCAGAGAGGAGCTTAGGAGGAAATGTCCTTGGCATGCCAGTCAATTACACAGAGCAGACACACGACGGGAAACAGTAACAACGCAGACGAAAAAACTGTTATGAAGATCATCAAACCGCTTATGAAACCGTTACTAAGATCATGAAAAAAGAAAGAAAAACAAAAAACAAATGTATCATGAAACCAATTTCATTGAGCAAACTTGATTGAGTTACCAAGCAGGAGGGACCGGTTATCAGGTTACGTTAATGTCACTTTGCTCGATTTCCTCCGTCTTAACTGAAGCTCCTCAAAACACTCAGAACTCGCTCACTGTCCTCAAAGAGCCTCAATCAAAGGGCACCGCTGCCTGTAATGTAAATCAAATGCCAGCAATTTAAGACTTACAACTTGCTGTCCAATTCAATCCCAAAGGAATCCGCTAGTCACAAGGATGAACCGCGGATGAACCCGACGACTTCTGCCATAATCTGCTTAGGGTCAAAATAGAGACTTTCCTTCTGTATGAATGGATTCTCACTACTGAGTCAAAGTAGGACAAATTGCAGATATATAATAATCATAATATTGCTGTGTATCTAGCTGGGGATTATTCCCTCACTGAATGGAACATGGCATGTATTCTACCAGGTGACATGATGACGTGGAGAGGATCTGTGTCTGCACCACGTACTCTCACTACTGGTGTCCCCCAGGGCTCAGTTCTAGGCCCTCTCCTCTTCTCTCTATACACCAAGTGACTCAGCTCCGTCATATCCTCACACGGTCTCTCATATCATTGTTATGCGGATTACACTCAAGTACTTTTTTCCTTCCACCCTTCTGACACCCATGTGGCGACACGCATCTCTGCGTCTCAGCTTGGATGTCGGCCCACCACCTCAAGCTCAACCTCGACAAGACAGAGCTGCTCTTCCTCACGGGGAAGGCCTGACTGCTCCAAGACCTCTCCATCACAGTTGACAACTCCACGGTGTCCCCCTCCCAGAGTGCAAAGAACCTTGGCGTGACCTTGGACAACACTCTGTAATCCTCTGCAAACATAAAAGCAGGGGCTCGCTCCTGCAGGTTCATCCTTACAACATCCGTAGAGTACGACCCTACCTCACACAGGAAGTGGCGCAGGTCTTAATCCAAGCACTTGTCATTTCCCGTCTGGACTACTGCAACTCGCTGTTGGCTGGTCTCCCCCACTTGTGCCATCAAACCCCTGCAACTTATCCAGAACGCTGCATCCCGCCCTATGTTCAACCATCCCAAGTTCTCCCATGTCACCCCGCTCCTCCGGACATTCCACTGGCTTCCAGTCGAAGCTCACATCCACTACAAGACCATGGTACTTGCCTATGGAGCAGCAAGAGGAACTGCCCCTCCCTACCTTAAGCCTATGCTCAAACCCTACACCCCAACCCAAACACTCCGTTCTGCCACCTCTGGTCTCTTGGCTCCCACTCAGCCCAGTCCAAGCGCTTCTCTGTCCTGGCACCCCAATGGTGGAACCAGCTCCCCCTGAAGCTAGGACAGCAGAGTCCCTGCCCATCCCCCCCCCCCCCCCCCCCCCCCCCCAGCCTTTCATGAACTAACAGTCGCAATTGACGTTTTCCCCCCTCACTAGCTCTGACTTTGCTTATAGCTCCTTTATTGAGGAAAAATGTACTTACTATGACTCTGATATGTGGTTGTCCCACCTTAAGATGAATGCAGTCATTCTGGATAAGAACGTATGCTAAATGACAAATGTAAATGTATTCATTACTGTATCAGTGATTGACATTGTAACCAAATGTTTATTAATTTCACCCCACCCCCACCCCTCTCCTCATTCACATTTTGTAACCTTGTAAGTCTTATCACATCAGAATGTATATAGTATTCCCCTTTCATAACATTTATTTTCAAATCGAGTGACAACCACATTGAAACCTGTTTAAAAGCGGGTCAGATAAATACATTATCATCATTACATTTACATTTTAGTCATTTAGCAGACGCTCTTATCCAGAGCGACTTACAGGAGCAATTAGGGTTAAGTGCCTTGCTCAAGGGCACATTAACGTCATTTAGCAGACGCTCTTAGCCAGAGCGACTCACAAATTGGTGCGTTCACCCTATAGCCAGTGGGATAACCACTTTACAATTGGGGGGGGGGGGGTAGAAGGATTCCTTTATCCTATCCAGGTATTCCTTAAAGAGGTGGGGTTTCAAATGTCTCCGGAAGGTGGTGAGTGACTCCGCTGTCCTGGCGTCGTGAGGGAGCTTGTTCCACCATTGGGGTGCCAGAGCAGCGAACAGTTTTGACTGGGCTGAGCGGGAACTATGCTTCCGCAGAGGAAGGGGAGCCAGCAGGCCAGAGGTGGATGAGCGCAATACTCTCGTTTGGGTGTAGGGACTGATCAGAGCCTGAAGGTACAGAGGTGCCGTTCCCCTCACTGCTCCATAGGCAAGCACCATGGTCTTGTAGCGGATGCGAGCTTCAACTGGAAGCCAGTGGAGTGTGCGGAGGAGGGGGGTGACGTGAGAGAACTTGGGAAGGTTGAACACCAGACGGGCTGCGGCATTCTGGATGAGTTGTAGGGGTTTAATGGCACAGGCAGGGAGGCCAGCCAACAGCGAGTTGCAGTAGTCCAGACGGGAGATGACAAGCGCCTGGACCAGGACCTGTGCCGCTTCCTGTGTAAGGCAGGGTCGTACTCTCCGAATGTTGTAGAGCATGAACCTGCAGGAGCGGGTCACCGCCTTGATGTTGGCGGAGAACGACAGGGTGTTGTCCAGGGTCACGCCTAGGCTCTTCGCACTCTGGGAGGAGGACACAGCGGAGTTGTCAACCGTGATGGCGAGATCATGGAACGGGCAGTCCTTCCCCGGGAGGAAGAGCAGCTCCGTCTTGCCAGGGTTCAGCTTGAGGTGGTGATCCGTCATCCCATACTGATATGTCTGCCAGACATGCAGAGATGCGATTCGCCACCTGGTTATCAGAAGGGGGAAAGGAGAAGATTAGTTGTGTATCGTCAGCGTAGCAATGATAGGAGAGACCATGTGAGGATATGACAGAGCCAAGTGACTTGGTGTATAGGGAGAAAAGGAGAGGGCCTAGAACTGAGCCTTGGGGGACACCAGTGGTGAGAGCACGTGGTGCGGAGACAGCTTCTCGCCACGCCACTTGGTAGGAGCGACCGGTCAGGTAGGACGCAATCCAGGAGTGAGCCGCGCCGGAGATGCCCAGCTCGGAGAGGGTGGAGAGGAGGATCTCAATCAATTTTATTTTATATAGCCCTTCTTACATCAGCTAATATCTCGAAGTGCTGTACAGAAACCCAGCCTAAAACCCCAAACAGCTAGTAATGCAGGTGTAGAAGCACGGTGGCTAGGAAAAACTCCCTAGAAAGGCAAAACCTAGGAAGAAACCTAGAGAGGAACCAGGCTATGAGGGGTGGCCAGTCCTCTTCTGGCTGTGCCGGGTGGAGATTATAACAGAACCATGCCAAGATGTTCAAAAATGTTCATAAGTGACAAGCATGGTCAAATAATAATCAGGAATAAATCTCAGTTGGCTTTTCATAGCCGATCATTAGAGTTTAAAAACAGCAGGTCTGGGACAGGTAGGGGTTCCATAACCGCAGGCAGAACAGTTTAAACTGGAATAGCAGCAAGGCCAGGCGGACTGGGGATAGCAAGGAGTCACCACGGCCGGTAGTCCCGACGTATGGTCCTAGGGCTCAGGTCTCTCAGTTGGCTTTTCATAGCCGATCATTTAGAGTTGAAAACAGCAGGTCTGGGACAGGTAGGGGTTTCGTAGCCGCAGGCAGAACAGTTGAAACTGGAATAGCAGCAAGGCCAGGCGGACTGGGGGCAGCAGGGTGTCATCATGCCCGGTAGTCCTGACGTATGGTCCTAGGGCTCAGGTTCTCAGAGAGAAAGAGAGAACGAGAGAATTAGAGAGAGCATACTTAAATTCACACAGGACACTGGATAAGACAGGAGAAGTACTCCAGGTATAACCAACTAACCCCAGCCCCCCGACACATAACTACTGCAGCATAAATACTGGAGGCTGAGACAGGAGCGGTCCGGAGACACGTGGCCCCATCCGAAGAAAACCCCCGGACAGGGCCAAACAGGAAGGATATAACCCCACCCACTCCGCCAAAGCACAGCCCCCGCACCACTAGAGGGATATCCCCAACCACCAACTTACAATCCTGAGACAGGCCGAGTATAGCCCACAGAGGTCTCCACCACACAGCACAAACCAAGGGGGGGGGGGGGCGCCAACCCAGACAGGAAGATCACGCCAGTAACTCAACCCACTCAAGTGACGCACCCCTCCCAGGGACGGCATGAAAGAGCACCAGCAGGCCAGTGACTCAGCCCCTGCCAACAGGGTTAGAGGCAGAGAACCCCAGTGGAGAGGGGAAACCGGCCTGGCAGAGACAGCAAGGGCTGTTCGTTGCTCCAGCCTTTCCGTTCACCTCACACTCCTGGGCCAGACTACACTCAATCATATGACCTACTGAAGAGATAAGTCTTCAGTAAAGACTTAAAGGTTGAGACCGAGTCTGCGTCTCTCACATGGGTAGGCAGACTGTTCCATAAAAATGGAGATCTATAGGAGAAAGCCCTGCCTCCCGCTGTTTGCTTAGAATTCTAGGACCAATTAGGAGGCCTGCGTCTTGTGACCGTAGCGTACGTATTGGTATGTACGGCAGGACCAACTCGGAAAGATAGGTAGGGCAAGCCCATGTAACGCTTTATAGGTTAACAGTAAAACCTTGAAATCAGCCCTTGCCTTAACAGGAAGCCAGTGTAGGGAAGCTAGCACTGGAGTAATATGATCAAATTTCTTGGTTCTAGTCAGGATTCTAGCAGCCGTATTTAGCACTAACTGAAGTTTATTGATTGATTGATTGATTGATTGGAGAGGAGGATCTGATGGTTCACAGTATCAAAGGCAGCAGACAGGTCTAGAAGGACAAGAGCAGAGGAGAGAGAGTTAGCTTTAGCAGTGCGGAGAGTTTCCGTGACACAGAGAAGAGCAGTCTCAGTTGAATGACCAGTCCTGAAACCTGATTGTTTGGATCAAGAAGGTCATTCTGAGAGAGATAGCAAGAGAGTTGGCTAAAGACGGCACGCTCAATAGTTTTGGAAAGAAAAGAAAGAAGGGATACTGGTCTGTAGTTGTTGACATCAGTGGGGTCGAGTGTTGGTTTTTTGAGAAGGGGAGTAACTCTCGCTCTCTTGAAGACGGAAGGGACATGGCCAGCGGTCAAGGATGAGTTGATCAGCGAGGTGAGGTAGGGGGAAAGGTCACCGGAGATGGTCTGGAGAAGGGAGGAGGGGATGGGGTCAAGCGGGCAGGTTGTTGGGCGGCCTGCAGTCACAGTCGCAGGATTTTATCTGGAGAGAGAGGGGAGAAAGAAGTCAAAGCATAGGGTAGGGCAGTGTGAGCAGGACCAGCAGTGTCATTAGACTTAACAAACGAGGATCGGATGTCGTCAACCTTCTTTTCAAAGTGGTTGACGAGTCATCCACAGAGAGAGAGGAGGGGGGGGGGGGGGATTGAGGAGGAAAATGTGCAAAGAGCTTTAGTTAGAGGCAGATCTTGGATTAGAGGGTGAAGGTGGCCCTAGCAGCAGAAACAGTGAGTAAATTGGAGAGAGAAGTATGAAAAGATGCCAGGTCGGCAGGATTTTCATTTTTGTTCAGTTATTGCTCCGTGCCGGAGCTTTGTTCTGTGAGCTCGCAGGATCTCATCATCACGAGCTGGAGGGGAGACGACCGGCCGTTGATAGTCGAGATCACAGGATCAGGAATGAGGGTTAGGAGGCAGAATCAAGAATTGGAGGAGAAGGATTGAGCAGGGAAGAGATGATGAAAGAGAAGTTGTGGGAGAAAAGCGTGTCGGCTGCGCATATACACATCTTGTGGAGTGAGGGGGGGAGGGGGGGAGAGAAGGAGAGAGAGACCCAGTAAAGTTCTGCTTACCCAGTTAGAGTGCACTAGTATAATCTGTGCAGCGCGACCGTAATAAAGACGACCTGGAACGCAACAAGAGTCTGAATAGACCAGAGCGACACGTTTATGTGACTACATGGGATTTATTCAAATGAGCAGCACACAACATACATAGATTTTTATCTGCATCGTTCTAGGCATTGAATCCCATTAAAAATATATATCATAAATATTTTATTGTCACATATACCGGATAGTTGCAGTGGATGTTTTGTTTTACAGGGTCAGCCATACTAGTACTGCACCCCTGGAGCAAATTAGGGTTAAGTGCCTTGCTCAAGGGCACATCGGAAGATTTTTCACTTTGTCGGCTCAGGTATTCGTACCAGCGACCTTTCAGTTATTGGCCATAAACTCCAACCACTAGGCTACCTGCCACCCTTAAAATAAGCCATGAAATAAGCCCTATGTGTTTGAATCCACATACACTATTCTACCTCATATTAGTTAACTCTCTCTTCCTATAACCTCCACTCTCTGTGTTCTCACCCTATTCAAAGGGTGTAAATTCTAATTTCTTAACGTGACTCTCCATCTCTCTCTTTATCTCCAGGGCACTACCCTGGCGAGGCAGATCGGCGCCGTGGCCTACACAGAGTGTACGTCCAAGTACTCGGAGAACAGCGTCCGCGATGTCTTCCACGTCACCACCCTGACCTCGGTGACGCGCCTCCACCGGCCCCAGCTAAAACGCAGCGGCTCACGCCGCGGCCTCAAGCGGGTCTCCCAGCAACCTCCCCGGACGGAGGTTCTGGAGCACCCCCCCGCCATGAGAAAGAACCGGGCCAAGAGCTGTGTGCTCATGTAGGGTTCAGACTGGCCAGACTGAACCAACTGACCCCAAACGATGTACAAAAGAGACAATGTATATTATAAATGTACTTTATTTATTGGTTCAATTTTGTTTGCACTGCAAATGAATGCAGGTCATTGCAGCGGGGATGATGATTTTCCTTTTCAAACCATCAACCTGTGGAGAAAGAACGATGGAGAAACATGGACACAAACATGGATTTGTTGGCTATAGGAATAGAGTGAGAGAGAAAATATGAGGGGATGAGGTAAAGAAAAAATAATGAAGTGGTTGGTTAAACTCAGACGAGCTAATTGTAATGAGATTGTCCTGGAATCCCTTTCTATTCTGTCTCTTGTCCTGAGATGCCATTCTATTTAAGTGTTTAACCAAATGAAGCACAAAAAGATGCACGCAAAGTGTAACGACTTAAATGTCAGGGAATTATATTATTATTCCATCTGATGAAGCTTAACAAACCAAGGTTTTATGCCCAGAGCGACAAAAAACAATGGGCCAACGTGACACAAATGTTCTAAACCCACAAGTGCTTTGGAGGAGAAAAACGTAACAAATCACTGACATCACATAACATTGATGTGTTACTGAAAATTAACATTGTTCGGATTTGAACAATTATATTTGAGGGAAATCTCAGAAGGGAAACTGTTATAACACAGTTTTTGCTATATGTCTTGCTGTATGTGTGATTCTGAAATAAAGTAACTAGCTCTGCTAAATGAAGAGAATTTAACCCTGGTTTTATTATTTGTTAACATGACTGTAGTCCATCCAGCTCCCCCAGGGTCCAAAGACACAGAGACCAGAAACATACGTTGTTTTGAATAAGTGAGATAAAAAAATTGATTTGGTACCATGAAAATCTACAACCCACAATGTTGCCTCAATGTTAACTTGAAGTTGTGGGCCTTAACATGCCATTGCTACGTAGGCGGCCATGTATGAACCAGAAATGTTCACAAGTCTTTGGGGTAGAGTCCAAGTCAAGTCTCAAGTCTTTTAGGGCCAAGTCTAAGTCAAGTCACAAGTCCCCTTTGGCAATGGCTTTCTGCTTGCTGTGGTTAGGTCTATAAACCTTGTAAATTATTTGAAGAGACTCCCTTCATTAGTCCATACTTGTATGAAAGAAAGCACATCAGGCACTATTTAAATCAAAATAAATGTCCTTTTAAAATGTAGACAGTTTACAAGAATAAAAGTAACTGTACCGGATATGAAAATAAGCTAAGATAACATTTTAAAGTGCATGGTATTTTGTGGCATACATTGTTTATATTTCACTTCATTCTGTCACACAAACAGAAAATCTGTAGGTGTCTCCCGAGTGGCGTAGTGGTCTAAGGCACTGCATCGCGGTGCTAGCTGTGCCACTAGAAATCCTGGTTCGAATCGAGGCTCTGTTGTAGCCGGCCGCGACCGGGAGACCCATGGGGTGGCGCACAATTGGCCCAGGGTAGGGGAGGGAATGGCCGGCAGGGATGTAGCTCAGTTGGTATAGCATGGGTTGTCAAAAAAATGTATGTATGCACTCACTAACTGTAAGTCGCTCTGGATAAGAGAGTCTGCTAAATGACTAAAAGATAAATGACAAGTATAAATGTAAACTAAAATGACTGATAACTGTTCAATAACTGCACTACTAAAGTGTTCTAGATCCCTAAAATATACTTACTGACCTGGACACTTAACAACAGAAACACAATTTCCTGTAGCAAATTACATCCTGTGCCATTAGACAGAGAACATTTCTGTTGCAGACAGGTTACATTTCAGAAAGATCAAGTTTGTCAGCGTTCTTGCGCTGAGCCTGGCACGATGAGGGCGCATGATTAGGCCTCCATGACTAAACACTCTCTCCACTGGGGCACTGGTGGCAGGCACAGCCAACACTGTCATTGCTACCTGCTTGAGCCTTGGAAAGTCTTTCGCATGGATTCTCCAAAAATCCAAGTAATCAACTTCATTTTCATCAGAAGATACTTGAATGTAGCGAATAATCTCTGCTATGACAGATGACTTTATGTCTCCTTACTTCTTGCTGATCTTGTTGCGGTAGCCAGAGAACAATCTGGAGGGTTTGGCAGGTGGTTGTTCTTCTTCTTCTCCACTACTAAAATTCATAAAATGATGTATATAATCAAGAATATAACAGGATACATTATACATGAAAACAAATCATTATTATTTGAATGCAAGTGGCATAGAAAATTGGATAGCTTTAACATCAGCGTTGTACTCTTCACCAAATTCTTCCCATAGGCTGGGGTTATCCACATCATCATCATCACCATCATGATCATTGCTTGCTTTGGGGAAACAAACTGTGAAGGCCTTTTTCATATTTGCAGCGTTATCACATATGATATAATCTAATTTATATTTTATGCCAAAATTATCACATATTACTTCAAATGTATCACTGATTCTTTCCCCAGTGTGTGACCCTGTGAATCTATCACAGCTCAACAGAACTGACTCCAGTCTAGGAGTTTTTTTCATTTTTCATGGCCATGTAATGGGCCGTTACTCCCATGGTCCGGTCAGTCCATATATCTACAGTGACAGACACTGATTCTGTCTTCTCTAGGGCACTTTTGATTGTAGCCTCTTTGTTCAGTGTTAAGTCATGCAGGCGCCTGGTCAACTTGGGCCTACTTACTGGTCTATATTTGTCATCTACCACTGACATGAAATGCCTAAAGTGAGGGTTGTCCACTAAGGACATAGGCAGGTTGCAGGAAATGATCAGGTCTTGCAGTATAGCCTCTGTTATGGCCTTCTGCCTGGGGTGGCCCTGGCTGTACACATGGATACCTGTGGTGGTCAAGAATGAGTCAATGCTGCTCTGTCCTTCTGTCCCTGCGCTGGCCACCTTTGCTTTGCAGAATTCAGTGAACCTGCAGATGAACAACATGATGGATAGTTGTTGCTGACTTGAGATGGAAGTACAAGGACACAAACAAATATATATGGTCTATGGAATTTTTCAGCAGAAATGTCCAAGAAGTTGCATGCTTTGAACTCTCGTTTTATACTAAGTTACTTCCTAGGACCAGGCTACAACAGAAAGTATATTAAATCCCATAGTGATATGCATATCGCTGAGATGTAATTTAATAATCTCTGCTAACAAGTAGGCCTAGCTATCTGACAACCCACCTCTTAAACTTTCGAGAAATATTCGACAGTAATACATTTCCAGTTAGCTAAAAGATGACACACAAGAAAGCTAGCTATATCAAGCTGGCATCTGCTAAACAGGCTATTATTAGTTTAACCACATTGTAACGTTGTTAGCTAGCTAGCTAGCCTGACCTTTCGCTGTGAGTTTTCAAATGTCAGATGAAGTTAGATGTAGTTGCGCCACCATCTTTAATGTTAATTCCACAAGTTTTGCTAACAGCATTTCGTTTTTTGCCACTGGCATTATACTGCAGGTTCTTGTAACCAAATGTAATAACGAAAGCCTCACCACCTGATGACATTGTTGCTGATTACGATTGTTTAGCTGTAGTACTACAGTAACGTACAAATGACGCAGCCATTCTAGAATGCTTTTCAGCCCTCTGTATTAAACTACTATCTCTGTGTTACAATGCCGCCTGTTCCATGTTATCTGACAGAATGCACAACAAAAACTTATCCCAGTACTGACTTGCATTGTTCACAAGTCTCTCATCTAGAGTCCAAGTCAATTGATCATGAGTCTAAATCAAGTCGCAAGTCATTTTCTTTGCGATTTAAGTGCGACTCGAGTCCGAGTCTCAGACTCGAGTTTCCATCTCTGGTATGAACCACATATTAACATTGGCAGTGTTTCTTTTCTCACAGTAGCTGATATACAGGTAAGTGCCAAAATAAAGGAAACACCAACATAGTGCCTTAATAGGGCATTGGGCCACCACAAGCCGCTAGAACAGCTTCAATGATTCTACAAGTGTATGGAACTCTATTGGAGGGATGTGACACCATTCTTCCATGAGAAATTCCATAATTTGGTGTTTTGTTGATGGTGGTGGAAAACGCTTGTCTCAGGCGCCTCTCCAGAATCTCCTATAAGTGTTCAATTGGGTTGAGATCTTGTGACTGAGACACACACACACACACACCCTTTAAACCCCTTATGCTCCTTTGAGACCCCTCTTTCAAACCCACTGAGATCTCTTCTTCTAGCCATGGTAGCCAAAATAATGGGCAACTGGGAATTTTTAAGGAGTACATGACCCTAAGCATGATGGGATGTTAATTGCTTAATTAACTCAGGAACCACACCTGTGTGGAAGCACTTGCTTTCAATATATTTTGTATCCTTCATTTACTTAAGTCTTTCCTTTATTTTGGCAGTTACTGGTATTTGATTCAGTAAACCAGAACTGAAATACTAGAATTCCAGCTTTGAAACATCGGGTTACCCTCAAAGTAAAAAAGCCATGTTCTGAAAAGTAGGCTAACAACAGTATAGCACATCCAGTTTTTAAATTCTAGTGCTTCAATCTAATCTGATCTGTTGTTATACCATAACACTACACATTGGTGTCCAATTTGTAAGTCGCTCTGGATAAGAGCGTCTGCTAAATGACGTAAATGTAAATGTGAATGTAGTCGGTAGACCTGAAACCTCTACTGCGACATTTTCTAGTGCTCACAGCTCACAACAGTTTCTCCTCCTGAATCCTTCCCCCACCTCTCTCCCTCCCTCCATGCAGTGGAGCCCCCCCAGCAAGTTACTGCCTCTGTGAGCAGTGTCATTTCACAAAGTGACATTTCACAGCGTCACCACGATGTCTCCATGCGGCTTGGAGTGCGAGGTCGTGCGGTGCGCCCAAGGCAAGGCCAGTGTTGGCCTCCAGTCACAGAGACTTACTCACAGCAGAGGTTCCCTGAGACTGTTGGGGCAGAATACATTTAGACAGCTGTATAGGCTATCCCACTGGGCACATACATCAATTCAACATCTATTCCACGTTGGTTCAATGTAATTTAATTTAAATGAC